TTTTTCTAACTACTTCAATGTTCAGATAAGTTGAACTGGAAAGCCAAAACAATTGCTTCAGTTCCGGTGAGTGTGTATCTAGTACGATTTGAACCTTTGGCGTTTTTATTCATTTCCCATGTTTGCTACTTCGTAATATGCGGCCACTTCCTGTTTTATTGTGATTTTGTAAGTGTTCAATGATGTCTTCCTCGCCCGTCACGCCATGACCCAGTTTCAACCACACGGCCATGCTGCAACGAAGTGCGTGACCCTCAGCAAGACCCGAATGGCTATATGATCGTTCTGTTCAACTGTTAAGCTATGATTTATTATCGTTATTATTATTATATTGTCACATGATTTTTTTTCACCTTATTTGTAATGTCTTCAGTATCTTTATTGTACATGTAATTTGTATATACCAATTCATACATGTATAAACCGAGCAAACGACCCCGATTGAAGGTCATGTATTTTGTGACATCACCAATTCATGTGTCAGTACGGCTTCTAGAAATGTGCCCTTTTTCATTTGTTATAGTTATAAAATTTGCTGATATCATATTTTTGATTCTGACAAATTGGAAAGCATAAACAAGATGGCGGGCCAGCAATCGACTTTGTCAATGTTTTTGTGGGGTGAGGGCAAATTTTCACTTTAATTAACGTTTTTGTTACCTTAACTCATGAAGTTCACCGATGTTGTGTTTTTTATTTAAAATTCGAGTAAAGATTGTGATTCTTAGTTTCTCTCAGTTGAAAAAAAAAATAACAGTAAAAAGTAAATAGCGAGATCCATAATGTGAATATTTTTTTAAAACCTGTTCTAAATTTAATTACTACTCTATTTATTTTTTTACCTCATAAAGTTTAAGCTTTCAAAAGTATTTATAGTTTAATGTACTGATCGTAGTTACGCCGATGTACTCATATAAATGTTTCAGATCGCATCATCCCACTTCTTTGCCTTCGTGTTATTTGAACAAGGTTCACCCAAATCAAAATCACTGTCATCCCCGTCTTCACTTGTACGATCATCATCAGAAATATGTTCTAAATTTTCGAAAACATCTGCAAATTCCTATTTGTGACTTTCTGGACATTCAATGACATGCGAGAACACCATCATTAAAAGAAACTGTACCACTGATTTACATAATAACGAGCAGGCCACTCAGCAAACTCAAATCAAAAAAATCGAGAGGTTTCGTTGAAGTGCAAATAAACTACTAGTATCTGATATAAGACCTGATTTAATTTAATTGGATTAAAGATTGATTAAAACAGATCCCAACAGCCGCTACATCAAAGAAAAGGCAGAGTTGCATGTCCCTCTTTTCTAGTTGCTTTGGTATTATATAGTTTATTAGCTATTTATTATGATATTGCAGTTGTGGTGATGTTACGAATACAACTGGGTGGTCGGACAAATAGTACATTTTCGATAAATGACATAAAGCAAAAGAAGGACTGTTGGCCAAACCCTGTATTTTTTGGGGGCTAAACTGGAAATAAATATGAATTTTAAGAAATGTTAATTTTTAACAACCATGGATGTTTTAGTCTCTTTTACAGAATCCTCATCTGGAAAAACATTTACATTATGAGGTGGTAAAGTTGTATCAACAACGTTCAAACAATGAAGTCTCTGAGTCTGATCAGTTTATGTGTGTGAGTACCATTATGTTTGAATTATCTTACAGTAAAGTTTGCAAATACGTATCAATATGGCAGTATGATATACCCTCA